CAAAAAAAAAAAAAAAAAACACATCATAGTAAAATAATACCTTCTCAGCTTCGCATCGAAGCTAATAACTTTTGTTTAAGTTAAAAATACTAATTAATATAAAAATATACAGAGTTATTGGTTTATCATAAACCACTTGTTTAGTCACCAAATAAATACAATACAGAAAAATAAAATAATAAATTAATAAGAAAAATGATAGTTTCTTTCTTTTAGTTACAAACTTAATGGAGTGTCAACTTTTTTAAATGGTAACATACATATTTAATTAAATTATAAAATAGCGCATATAATAAAATGGCTTATAAAATAAAAAATTATCTAATTAAGTAAATTACGGGTCGATAACAACTTTCAGTATTTCTAACTATTATAACTAACAGTATTTCAGAAATTATTAACAATGTAAAGTAATGACTGGAGATGAGGAGTGGGTGCTCCTTTTTTTAGAACTAGTCATTTACCGGCCATACTCTTCGTTCTGCCTAGATATAAAAATTAAAATAATGTCCAAAAGTTGTTATCCATCAGTCATTTTCTTAATTAGATAATTTTCTGTTTTATAAGTTAATTAAATATGTATGTTGTTACCTTTAAAAAAATTGACAACCCTATAACTTATTAGATATTATCCTAATAAGTATACTAAACAGTATAAGTATATTAAACAAAAAATTAACAAAATGTAACTAAAAAAATAAAAAATAATTTTTCCAATATATTTATTTTCGAGTAATCAAGTGGCTTATGATAAACCGATCACTCTGTAGAATATTATTAAAAATTACTAATAAAAAATATACATACAATTTACAATGAACATATGTTTAGAAATTTGCTTTTATTTGTTGATCAATATTTAAAATTATCTAGTTTCACAAATCACATTGACTAAGTTAGCATAACATTTTTTTTAACTCAGTTATATCAAATGTAATATATTTTATAGATGTTTTTAATGTACTATTACATGCTATGAAAAAAAAGTTTCTATATCTTATGGGCATTGTTGTACCATAAGTACTATTATACATTATACATTATATGTATATGCAAAAATAAACCCTATTTATGATCTAGCCAATGAATTGTGTATTAATTCTCATTATTACTTTATATTAACATTGATTGCTGGCTTGATTGTTAGAAAATTACATACATATGTACATATGTATGTAAATAAATTATACATAAAAATGTGAAACGTATATGAATGTATGTACATTTAAAATATTATTGGTTCTTCACCAGAAAATCTGTTCTGCATGGTGGTGTCTGCAACATTCAAATTTTCAAGAAATTATTAAAAATATTAAAATAGAAAACATGGATGATTTTAATATTATTAAGAAAGCAAAATCTAGATATGCGTATTGGACAAAAAATGGCGAGGTAAATGTTTTTAAGTATATTTTTCTTGTATAAATGTATAGATTGACCTGATATACTTTATAATAAGTATAATGTTTAATAATTTAATTATAAAATTATACGTATATTATGATCATACATAGGCTATTAACCCTTAAAGCTTGAATATAACATCTGCTTAAATCCATCCTTGCAATCTTTTAAAATCTTTCCAATGTCATAGGGTTTACCTACAGGTAGTCTTTAACCAAAATTTTGCAACCAATATCTTATTAAATATTTTTTTAAGTAGTCCTCCATGAATAAGCAATCAATTCAAGTCCTCTATGACTTGTTTGATATAACTCTATTTTTTTGGTTATAGAGTAACTATACAAGGTCCACTTTTTATTTTATAGTAATCTTCTTATTTATAAATTACATGCATAAATCATTCTTGAAAATATTTAGATTCGATGCTGTACAACTGACCGAAAAACCCAACACAAGATGTTGTATCTCATTCCAAAATGTTGGCCATCTAATTTTATTAAAAATGAAACTACTAGTCAGGTCAACCAGACTATTTCTACAGCACAAGAAAATAAAAGTATGTAACACAAGTTCTTCTAATTGATAGTAATTTTAATAGCAATTTTTTATTTATTGTTTTAAGGAATTTTAAGTACGAGTTCATTGGGCTCCTTGCGGCACTCTGAAAAAATTATGCATGTAGATGAGGACTTGTGCTTCTAATTAACATGTTTTTCTAGTAGTAACAATAAAAAGAAATAATCATTAAATTAACTAAAAAACGAATTTTCATGGGTTACTTTTTTATGTATTATCAAAAAACAAAAAATAATAATAATAACATTACCAATATAATAACAAAAGATTCCAGGAACAAATCGCTTATTTTTATAATTTAACTACTAGAAAAATAAGAATATTCTTTTAAGTTTCTATCTACTATGTTATTTACAAAACTATTTAGGTATACACTTATAATACTATTTTCAATTTTAAGGTTTTCAGATTGACTTCACATAATACAATAATCTAAAAAAAATAAAATCTGAATGTGTAACGCATAGTCAGATTGGAACTCTTTTANAAAATAAAATCTGAATGTGTAACACATAGTCAGATTGGAACTCTTTTATGCTTTTATAGATTTATCTTTTAGTTTTAAAGTAAACTACAGTTTATTTTTTATAAATTCATTACTTAGTCACATTCAATAGCAAACTTTATATTTTACATATTTTTAAGTTATTTTTTTTATTAATTAGTTTTATTTTATTTTAATTTACCTATTAATAATTAAAATATTAAAGATGTCGTTTTACAATAATGAAGAAAAAATAAATAATAGGTCTTGCTTCATCGAAAGTAAGAAAAATAAGAGAGCTGCAACAAGGTTAATATATAATAATAATTATTATTATAAACATAATTATTAGTATTCAAAAATATTCATTAAACTGATTTAAAATTAAGATTATACTTAAAAGTAATAAGGACAGCATTTTGAACATCTATAGCAAACACAATATTAAATATAAATTAATTTAAATAAAGTTAACAAAATGAATTCATTACTTAAATTTAAATTGAGTTCTAAATTATTTTTTCACATTTATCAGAATAGCTATTAGTATCACTTCGTATCACAAATTTAATAACTTATTATTTTTAGACCGTTTAACTTTATTTTCTAAGTATGATATTCAACTCTACAGTACACTGTTTGACGCATCACGATTTTTTCAATGTACATTTTTTTGCATACTAGCAAAAAACGTTTTAAATCGGGGTCTATGAATAATGAGAAATTTATTCAAATGCGTGATTAAACAACTTTAATGTAATTAATTAATTAAACCAGGGAAGCTAATAAGATCTTAAAAACGCTAATCTACCTCAAAATAAACATAAATATGACATTGGCTCAATGTCAAATTGAGCCAATTGCAGTTAAATATTACATGAATGCCTTTATATAAATACGTTTATATCAATAACTATTAATGAAATTGCATCTCTCTATACATAAAATGTATAATATAAATTATAAATGTAATGTTAAGATGAACTTACATAATTTTTCGGCATTACTCAACTGAATTAATTTAAATTACACTTCTACAGCAATCCTTGATTGATTTCATGTTGTCAACATGAGTTATGTTTGCATGTAATCCTCGTTTCCTGATTTGTCAAGCAGAGGGCCTACTTTTGAATCATCGAAATCAACGGATTCTATTGTTTTATTAGGTATAAGGTCAAAATTCTATATTTCCACGAACATAAATGTTCATCAAACAGATTCTATTGTTCTATTAGGTATACGACCTTCTAGGTATGTTCGATGAACCTTTAAGTTCCACGATTGTTTGCAATTTATTGTAATAATGTAAATAAATATTTTGAATTTTAAATTTATCAATTTGATTTTTATAATTAAAATATTTATTTTTAATTAATATATTATTTTTTAAGTAATAATAATTTATTGCTAAAACATACATTTATAATTTGTTAGTTTTAATTCACTTGATGTGAATTTAGTTTAAGTAATTCACCAAAATTAATAAATAATTTAATTACACAAATTCTAAAAAAAAGTATGTACAATTGCACACATGTTAAATTAAAAATTATTAATGCACTTTAAACAACAATACTAAAATTATCGAAAATAAAGTGCTACATATATTTTATTTTATTTATTTATTTTTATATTATTAATTAATATAACTAATAATATACGATGTTAATTTTAAATTGTATTTTAAGTAAATATGTTTACCTAAAAGGTAAGCATAAGGGTAAAACCTTTTTATTGTTATAAATGACCGTCCGTTCGCTATTGGATGGTTTTTAACAACCGTTGTCAACGAACGTTTTCTAATGTTCTAAACGGTCGTCCCTTCAATATTTCATACGGTCCGAACGTGTTCATGAACAAATGATTAAAAAATAGATCCCCAGGTAGTAGCATTTTCTATTTCTGTAAAAATAATAACTATTTTTCTGAAAGACAACTGTTTTTAGAAAGTAATTTTAATTTTGGGAAGGCCTGTCTCCCCTTATAACCACGCCTAGGTAATCTTACCGAAATCTGCCACAGTAAATCAAACAAGTTTTATAAAAAAAATTTAGTTAAATCTTTTAAATGTTTAAAAAAACGAAAACAAAACAAGAATATTTGTCAAAGATAAAAAATTTTCAAATAAAGATTTAAAATAAAAGAATAATTATGTAACTTTTAAAATATTGACATTTTAATAAAAAGAAAATATGACTTATAAGATTATTTATTTCTTAAAAATTTAATTGTACATACATATATATCAGATTTAGTTAGATAATAGTTTTGTTGAAGATCAACAGAAATGACATATTGTCAACTAACAACTCTAATTTTTAATTAAATCTTCTTCAGAATGCATAGACATAGTGAGTATATATAAAAAAATTTAAATTACATTTATAATAAATAATTATTGTTAATTGTATAAATTGCTGCATCCAAGTAATTATCATTCGAGACTTATTATTTCTATAATTTATTAAATGTGTCATTATTTCCGGAACATTTTCTAAATTTAATTTTTTGTAGAAAAGATGAGTGTGAAGCTAACAATTCGCGGTCCACCAACTTTTTATCACTAACAAATATTGGTTACCCTTCAGTTACCGATATTTTATAGAGTATAACGCTTTTTCTAACCGATAGATGTAGACACATAATACCAAAAAGCATATATTAAACGCATTTACCAATCATACACACAACAAAGATCTGTCGGCCGGTGGGAGTATATGTACAATTACTATCGTATACACCACCGTAACAACTCGAATAATTGTGAACGACCACTGCATTTAACAACTTAGCATTTGATATTATAATATAGAGTTTTTTTATAAGCTTTCAGAATATGTATAGAAAATATCTGGACTCGTCTCGGAACATTGTCAAAATAACAAATTACTGTGCCCGAGTTGGTGCGTTTATACGCTACCAAAAGTAATTTTCGCGGTCTTTATTTGCAATATTCAGTTATACCTGCACGTTTCACCCGTTAGCTTTTCACACCACTTATAGAGTTTTTTATAAGCTTTCAGAAAATGTATAGAAAATATCTGGACTCGTCTCGGAACATTCACCAATTCGCAACCAATTACTGTTGGTAGCGTATTAACGCAACAACTCGGCGTCAGTAATTTACGATTTTGACAATGTTCTGACACGAGTCCAGTTATTTTCTATACATATTCAGAAAGCTTATAAAATACTCTAAAATATAATATTAAATGTTTAGTTGTTAAATGCAGTGGTCGTTCACAATTATCCGAGTTGGTACGGCGGTGTATACGATAGTAATTGTATATATACTCCCACCGGCCGACAAATGTTTGTTGTGTGTATGATTGGTAAATGCGTTTAATATATGCTTTTTGGTATTATGTGTCTACATCTATCGGTAAGGAAAAGCGTTATACTCTATAAAATATCGGTAACCGAAGGGTAACCAATATTTGTTAGTGATAAGAAGTTGGTGGACCGCGAATTGGTAGCTTCATACTCGTTAGAGAAGTTGCCATTTTGAATCCCCCTCCGTGAGCTAGTAAAGGATCAGATTTTTAAAAAAATATACATGTATACCATTAAGTTTAATAGGTATTTTACTAGGTATACATACTAGATGTATAATAGAATTTTGAACTGAATTATAAGAAAAAATTGAATAGTTAATAGGATAAATAAATAATTTTACCATCTACATTGTTTCCTTGGTTTCTCAATACATTAATACTCTAGCCTTATTTTTCAATGTTTGGCTACACTGGGTAAAAGTGAATATCAAATTAAAAAAAAAAACGGTGGCATAGTGGAGACATTGCATAGTAGGGTCTAGTATAGATTTAATCTGACAGTGATTAAAATCACTATCATAAGAAACGCTTCGATGCAAATCTGTAGATAGTGTTTAATTTTAAAAAATTGATGGATAATTGCAAAAGCAACATCAACTTCTATTAAAATAAAATACAAAACCCATAATTATCATACAAAAATAGTATATTTTTCAATATGGTAGCCATTTGCGTATAGAAGATAGATCGTCGGGACAAATTTTTTTTTTTCATTTTGTAGTACATAAAATAAGCTTTAATTTTATATATGTTTAAAGGACGCAGTATTTCCGGAACATTTTCAAAAATTAAGTTGAAAAAGTTATTTTTTGTAAAAAAGTTACTATTTTAAATCCTCCCAGTGAGCAGAATAAGTGTTAGATTTTCAAAAAAAATTATATCAAATGAAAGGGAAATATCTAAGGTTTCAATACAAAAAAATATTATTTTCATTTGTTCATTTTTGAAAAAGTTATGGCAGTTTTAAGTACAAAAAACATCCCGATAAAATGTAATTTTTATCGCAAACATTACATTTTTTTTTAAATTTTCGACAGCCATTTGCACATAGAAGATAAGATGTCGGGACAAATTTTTTTTTTTCATTTGATAGTATATAACATAACCTTTGATTTGATATATGTTTAAAGGACGCAGTATTTCCGGAACATTTTCAAAAGTGCAGTTGAAAAAGATCTATGTCTTTTAAATTATTGATTTAGGTAAAAAAGAATTAAAATTCTATTTTCACGAAAAAATTGACATAATAGACCTTTCTCTTACTAATAATTACTCGATTAAAGGCTTGTCAGAATCTATCATTAAAGTAAAAACTATTCACACTAATGACACAACCGGTATTATATATGACCTAATAGTAATTAACGAAAACATTTTGATTGGAACTTGTATAACGCAAATTAAAAACAATTATACATTTGTACCGATTTTAAATACATCAGAAGAAGA